CAACTATTTTGTCGTTTAAATCTTGAATTTTGTCTTGTAAAATGGAGTCATTGTCGTGAAACGACTCACTGTCAGGATGGCGATGATATTTGTTGTAATGTTCAATTGAATAAGCTGGACACTTTAAGATGAGGATTTCAGCAGATGAGTTCACATCTAAATTTTTGCTTTCAAGTTTCCTAGTTTGTCAAGCACATCAGATACTGAAATTTCTGTATGGAGAGAAATATATCTTCCAGTTCCTAGCCAAATCAATATTAATTGGTTGTCTACTAGACCTGTAATTTTCTGTCTTAGATCCTGATATAAAACCACATCATCAATTTTTCGCCCCGCCCTTATACACAATATCCACTATACGTTCCAGCGGCTGGACAACATCTTTTAAGGATCAAAGAAAACTTCATCTTCAAAACGATCCAATTGCTTCTGTAAATTGTTGAAGGACATTTTTGTAAACGTTGTTCCTATATCACGTGATAAAGTTTCCCGCCTTTAATCAATAAACTGTAACAATGCAAAATAATACACCTCGTCAATATTGACCGTTGAAAAAAATATTATCAGCTGAAAATAAGCTTTTAACCGTCATTCAAAATAACTCGTCTCCTTTTGTCAAGTTTTTTTGACAGTTGAATCATTTTCGGCTGAAACTGGCCAGGATTGCGGGGATTTTCGCTGAACTGAAAACCAGGAAACGCTTTATGATTACGACCAACTGTAAATGCAAACAATTTATCGTTTTGTAGGAATGAAATTAATTGTTTGACATTTCCATCGCGGTTTCCACTCCTACGTCTATGTCTGTACAATTCGTTTTCCACCACTTGTGAATCGAACACGGTATCCAATGCCTCTCCAAGTGGCCCAATTATCTGACTATAACGTTGTATGGTTGCATTCGTGTACTGCCCTTTTTCACAACTCAACAATTCTTTAAACAGTCTATTTAATATCTCATTCATGAAATCCATCGGCAAATTCCGCCCTATGCCACCACCGTAATTAACTGTCCGATTGTGGATGATGTCCTCTCGTAATTTCTCCGGTAGCCAGCCATGTACTGATGCCAGTAACCTATGTGCCAGAATAAGATATTTTGGATGTTTTGAAGCAAAAAAATGAACAAGATCTAATTTCCAATGTGTAATCATTGCATTACCATCTGCTTCCCGTACTGCATCTCTTCTACACAATAATTTCAAACCAAGCCAGGCCATTGAACGACTATAGTTGTAAATATGATCCGAAATGTGTTCTGGTTTGTCAACACTTTTCTTTTCTCGCTTTCTTTTGCCTTTCTTAGCTGTTTTACAGGCATCTTGACAAAACCAGTCGCCTTTCGGAACATTTTCGGAATTGATATGGACACATTTCATATGGTACCATTCTCTGTTTGTAAAAGCAGATCCAGCCGCACAACCTATCATCGGCTAGTCATTTCCCAAGTTTTGTCTGCAATGGCAAAACGCGTACAAAATAGTACGGTTTCTACATTCCTCACTGCAGTGCCAGTTTTCGGGTAGGTTGTTCGGATCGATATCTGCACACATATTATGGAAAACTTCTCCATGTGTACAGTTTGTTCCTGCAGAGCATGCAATGGTGTCGTCGTTCAAATCTTCTCCACAACAAAATACGGGTGGTCCAGTCCCATCGTCCACTGTGAGAGCATTGGTGTTTGGTGTATGCCATAATCTTTGAACGACAGTGCTACATACATCCGTAAAATACCGATTACGTTGTTCAAAGTCATCATTAACAAGTGTGGTCTCAATATTTGCAGGCTCACTATCTTCATCTTCCATTTCCGTAATTTGCATTGTTAATAAGCAAACAAAACCCTCCGTGGCAAGACACATCAATTCTCATGCATGGGTAAAGTTATCGGAAACGTCAGATTTTACTGTTCTGAAGTTTTTTCAATTTTTTTTCAAATGGACTAACGTGCCTCTATCTGCTGCACTAGATCCTTTAAACAATAAATCATAAAAATCCTGAAGGAGCAGCATTTCCTTGTGAAATTCTTGTGCTGAAGGTTCGCATCCTTCCAATCTATCCCAGGGATTAAGACTGTTAGCCCTCGCCCTGTGGGCATCATTTCCCCTCTCACAACTAAGCCCGTCACCAAAAACAGCTGTCGTGTAAGGTTTTCCGTTTATTGACGGAACATATCGTTGCAGATTTTCATATATGGTTATGGCATCTTGTGTTGAAGATGGGTTAACATCAAACACGCCCAAGTTGACGAGCACACTTCTATGAGCAGACTCTGCAGAATGGTCATGAACAACGTGGGGTATAAAGCAATCGCTAAAATGATCATTAAACCATTTTAAATTACGTCCAATGATACGACCAACAATAATTTCCATTCTGTTTTTGACGTTTTTAAAATCTGATTGACTGGGAAAGAAAATTTCATGCGGCAAATCTATGGCTTTTTTTTACTGTATCGTCAAACTGCCATGGCAGGGTTGTCGTCGTAACACGATTTAAAGCCATGTAACCAAGTGCCATATTGATATACTTGTTGGTTGAAGTAAGGGTTGGGTGTCTTGATGTTAGTTTTTACCAACGTTATCCCAACACATTGTGAAACCTGGTTGCAACGTATGATTGGTGTCTAATCGAATTGATACAGCATGTATGGATTCGTTATCTGATGCCTCGGCAATACCATCATTTTCATTATCTTTAGAATCTTCATCGTTGTCCTCGACCTCTGTACTATCGCTCTCACTTTCTTCAGATCCATTCTCATTTGGTTCTCTATACTCATAAGAGATTTTATCATCCGAGTCAGATGGTTCATTAACTTCGTCTTCGATGTTTGGCACTGTAACTGCTACAGCATTCGACACGTCCATGTCTTCGTCCATGACGGTCATGTTTGATATGTCGTTGACATTTGTGAGCTGCTCTTCAATTTCTCTTTTGCAAGATGTTGCAGCCGAATCAAAATCGCGTCTGATATTATCAATAGCGGCAAGGGTTGCCTCATATCCCTTACATATCCCCATTTTTGACATCTGTTTGATAGTATCTCGCTTGAGATTTCCCCGCCAAAACTGGATAGATACTAGCGTAGGTATAAAGGAAGCCTTTATTGGAGCCTTAGCGTGAAGGAGATATGCAACTGCTGTTCCTATTTTTGGTTTTAAGTTGACTGTTTTTCCTTTGCACAACGTAGCTTCTTCCGACTTCCGCGTTATAGCACTTCTTAATACGTTGTATGTAAGTGGTGCTGATTTCTCAAAGTCGGACAAGGTCTGGGACCAGCTGAAATCTGTTATAGATGGAATATCTGCCTTCATACCAAGTGGGAAAGTTGTTTTAGGTTTTAAGATATCCTTTATTTCTTTACGCACAACTCCACTCACAAACCGCATAAATTGTCTTTTCGCCCCCTTTGTGGACTCGTACAATCCTTTATGGCTCTACCATACTGCCTTGCTCTCACAAACCCAATTATGGAATCCCATTTTGAGCCCTTCCTTCGTGGCTTTTTTCTGGAACAATGATTTTCCGGCTTTTTTGGCCTAGAAAGGAAATGTTTTTGGCATTAATGATTCAGAAATTTTATGCAAAAAGACAAATAAGTTAAGATAAATTTGTAATCTTTTACAGCCGATTGCATTAGGTGTGTAGGTAAAGGTAATATCTTTGGTTAGCTTGCTTGCTAGCTGAACCGTGAAGTCATTGTTTGGTTAGGTAAACTACCCTCCTTTAACTACATTACCCTTCCCTTTTCACGAATGTGACCTACCGAATTAGACTATTTACCGGATTTGTAAAAACATAAGCAACACGACGGGTGCCACATGTGGAGCAGGATCTGCTTACCCTTCCGGAGCACCTGAGATCACCCCCAGTTTTTTGTGGGATTCGTGTTGCTTAGTATATAGTTTTCTATGTTGTGTCTTCTGTACTATTATTTGTCTGTTTGTCTTTTTATTTTTAGCCATGGCGTTGTCAGTTTATTTTCAATCTATGAGTTTGACTGTCCGTCTGGTATCTTTCGTCCATCTTTTAAGAGTAGACTAGTCCGACAGACAACCGATCTATCTGTCTGTTGGACTAATCTACTTCGAAAAGAGGGTAGTATACTGTTCTTATAATGACTTAACAGTTCAGCTAACAAGCAAGCTTACCAAAGATATTACCTCTGCCTACACACTCAATGAAATCGGCTGTAATACAATACACATTTCATTGGGCTGACAGAGAGAGAGAGAGAGAGAGAGAGAGAGAGAGGCTAAAAACATTTCATATATATAAGGATGCAAAGAATACCTTCAGCGGGGTACTGGTAAATCTGGGTTTCTTTACTGTTGAAGACTGTTTTATTCCATCTGAGCCACGCTTCCCTCCAATGTAGGAATTGGCCTGAGTATTTCCCCAAAGTTCATGTAAAGAGGATTTATATCGTACTGTGTCATTAAGGTTTGACCAGCATGATGGACACAAAAATTGACCTTGACGTTTGTTAGATACAGGAGTGAACGGAACACCCGTTAATGCTGATAACTCATCTCTTGCTACTCCTCCAGAGGTTGTTGGCTTTTCCAAGGAAAACCTAAGGTATCCTTTATTGTCATGTCGTTTTTCAAATTCTCGATTACAGTTAGAACACGTTGCCATGATTGTACATGTACTAGTATCATGTGACGTGGAAAAAAGCGCGTTAAAAAGTCGAGATGGATGCCGAAAGTGTACGCACAAACTTCAATGAGATTAAATCTAGTTACAATATAAATTTTGAGCTGAAAAAAGAGCAGATCAAAGTAGCTGTAGCAGCCTTACAGAAGAGGAATGTTGTTTGTCTGCTTCCAACAGGTTTTGGAAAGACAATGTGCATGGTGTTGCCAGTCATTTTACAAATGGACAAAAATCCTATCACTCTTGTTATTTTCCCGTTATCGTCTTTGATAGACGATCAGATGTCAACCCTGGAAAACTGGAACACCAAGTGTGCAAAAATTACATCTCGGTCAGACATGCAAAAAGATGTTCTTACGGGCATTTCTAATGGAGAATATAATTTAATATTCTCTTCACCTGAATCCGTACTGAAACCATTCTGGAAGAAGGTCTTCCTTGGAAGTATTTGGCAGTCTCGTTTGTGTATGATATATGTGGACGAAACACACTGTATTTCTGAATGGGGGAAGATTTTCGGACAGACTATCAATCATTGCATGAACTGAGAAGCTTTTACAGTGCACCCGTAATGGCACTGACAGCAACCTTCACACAGAAGGTGAAGGATGACATCATGGAAACGTCGCAGTTGACAGATGCTGACACAGATATTATATTCAAGTCGCTGGATAGACCAAACATCTTCATTGAAATAAGAAAAAGGGACAGTACTGATTTTGAAATTTCACTAAAATGGCTCATTGATTATATCAGGGAAAACGGAGTAAATTCAAAGAAAATCGTAGTTTACTGCAGGTCAATTGATAGGGTGTCCGATTTATTCTTGTGTTTAAAAGACAACCTTGCATTACATGCATATGCAAATCAGGAGAAAAAGGCAAGTAACCTGCTTGTGGAAATGTTCCATAAGAGTACATCTGAAGACTCCAAAGAACGCATCCTGGAAGAGTTTAAACGGGAAGACAGCAGAATCCGATGTTTAATTGCTACTGTCGCATTAGGTATGGGACTGGACATCAGGGACATAGACCTTGTTATTCATATTGGATGTCCGAAATCAGTGTTGTCCTATTGGCAAGAAGCTGGCAGATGCGCTAGGAATGGCAGAGATGGATTCAGTTTTATTTTATATGATAACTTCACTTGTCGTTTAAAACCACCGGCAAATGTATACGCGATATCATAAACACCAGCACTTGTATCAGACGTCAAATTGTAAATTTATTGACCGTAGACAACTTCAAAGAAGACACAACAGATACAAAGAAATGCGAAGGATGCGATTTGTAGCACTGTCGGTGTCCTTCCTGTAAATGTTGTGCAGAGTGTTCAAAAAACTGTACGTGTCAAGAATGGAGCAAATTTAGTGTTGAAGAGTTTCTACAAACACCGAGAGATTAAAATTGCATTCGTTCTTTAACTGTCTTCTCTAACAACTTGCTAATATTCTTTGTAATAACTCGATTTTTGCAATACAAATGTTGCCTCGCCCGCTCTTATTTATTTCTATTGATACATACAAACTTAGTCAATAAAACGTTTGGTAAATGAGAATTGGCTCGCTTACCCCGTTGTATGAACTCGTATTTTGAAAGACATTTTTCGCCTCGTCCGCTCTCACAATTAGAAAATTCATTTCTGCTGATGCTTAACAATTTTGACAAGAGAACTTTTGGTGAATGAGAATTGGCTCGCTCACCCCCGTTGTATGAACTCGTATTTTGAAAGACATTTATCGCCTCGCCCGCTCTCACAATTAGCTATTCATTTCTTTAAATGGTAAACAACTTGGACAAGAGAACTTTTGGTGAATGAGAATCGCTCACCTCTGTTTTATGAACCTGTACTTGGAAAATCATGTATTGGCTCGCTCTCATTGATGCACTCTCATGGAACATTGAAACTTCATACCGTTAGCAGCTATCATTAACGTTCGAACTCGTATTTCGAAAGACATTCATCGCATCACCCGTTCTATTGACTACAGAACATTTAGTGAATTTGGCTCTCCCCCGTTATATGAACTCATATTTCGAAAGACATTTATTGCCTCACCGCTCTCACAGCTCGCCATTGATTTCTGTTGATGCTTAATTAACAACTTGGAGTAGAGAACTTTTTCTGAAGGATGATTGGTTTGTTTTAGAACCCATATTTTTCTATTCTGTATGTTTTTTGCCGATTATTCTCTATTCTGTAAACCCCATTCGTACCCTCTCACCACCTTTTATGGGTATAACTATAATTGCATGCCACTATTTTGTTTAGATTGCAGTAATTGGTCGTGTTTTCGTACGTTGTACAAAACTGACTCTAAATATTACCGTCAATTTCGTTTCATTCACGAATTCCTCAAAATTAAGAATCGGCACATATATTTGAAATAAAATGGCGAGAAGAAAATTGTTTGCCAACTGAAGATAAAAGTGATGGATAAGGAACATTATTTTAAACTATTTATGCGGTAAGAAGTTATTTTCATTCATATTTAGGTTGTTCCTAATAGTTTTATTTGTTTTGGCAGTGGGTTATTAATTTAAAATTTGCTACGAGAAAATAGCATCTATCGATAAGACTTCGGGTTTCAACATTGATAGTAAAAAAAAAATATCCGATAAAAACGTTGAATGTAAATGATATGAAACTCCGAAGTCTTATATTATAGGACTACTCTGTTTCAAAATAACAAGATTTTTAAAAGACTGTTCTAAAATGATAGGATTTAAATAAAGGAACTAAAAAAGCAGAAAAAAATAAAGTATGCTTGTTTTCAAGATAAAAGCCATTGAAAATTTGCCGGGAAACGATTCTCTCTAGATTTTTCATAATTTTAACATTGGTCGCTTTTTTGTTTCAAAAACTATGAAAAAATAACAAGTATCTTATAAGATTTTAAGATATGGCTTTTTAAACTATATGTAATAAAATTATGAAAAGAAAAGTAGGGGTTAGTGGGCAAAATTTTTTAATGGCAATACATGGATAAAACCAGAGGATTCCGAAAATCTGGCAGAAATTCAAAAACAAGAGGAGCAAACATCCTTTAGAGGAATTAACCTCACACATTGATAAATTCTACAGACTTGAATTCAAAATTCATGTAGATATAACATAAGTCCGGTAGTAATCCAGTTGTATAAATGAGATATACATTCCAATACAATCCTCTATTTCTTGGAATTATAGGTCAGTAGTTGTCTTTTTGTCATATCTTAAACTTTTTTTTTCTCATTTCGAGAAATTAGTATTGAAGGAAGAAAGTCTTTGTTTAATACATTCCTTTCGTAAAATCAGGGTGATGTAGACTCATATATTTATGAATATTGTTTTTGATGAATTGAAACATAACTTTATATGTAATTTGCTGTACAGTTTTACAAATTCAGTTCCTAAATCCGCTGAATGTGCACTGATTGATAATTAATTCTGGGAGAACATGATTTATTTATTAGTTTTTTTTTTTGAAAAGGGGGTGGGGAGGGGCTTTGAACTAGCTTTCAGTAACTGCAAGTAATGTTAGATCGGTCGGTGCGTTGTGTCTTTTGTCTTAATGCTTGATGTTTTTATGCTTCTTGTCAATCTGATTAGTCAAGCTATTCCTAACTGATTTTTACAGTTTGTTCCTATGTAGAGCTGTTATACCACTGTCCCATTTTAGGGGAGAGTTGAGCGCACACAAACATGATAAACTCCGCGATATTTACATTTCTTCCATTATTAAGCACCTCGGTGGTCTCGTGATACCGAGTGCGGGAGATCGTGGTTTCGAAACGCAGCCTCATCAAACCAAAGACTGTAAAAAGTATTTGCTGCTTCTCCGCTAAGCATGCGGTACTACGAAGTAAGAACAAAGACTGGTCGACTCGGAATAATGTGTGCAGGTAGGGTGAAATATCATCCTCATACTGTTACCTTGTAAACTAGCAGGTTAAAAATCGACTCTTAAAAAAGCGTGTCAGTCTATTACAGAGCAGGTTTCATATTCATATCGTACTAAAACAGTTCTCGTCCTAAAAATTTGCCACTGGACGTTAAATAGCTCAATCCATCCATCCATCTTCCAATGTTTAACGGTTATAGTTTGTCACGATGACAACCGTACATTGGCCATAGCTGATCAGTCTGTAGGAAAACTAATCTTTTATTATTCAATATTGAATGTTTATCCTTTAATATATTATTTTGTAATCATACTTAGATCTTTTGTCTATCCGGAACATTTTCTAGGAACTAAATTTAAGGTTTCTAATTAGATCATTTTCTGATGCACTATTATAAAGTAAGATATGAGAGAGAGAGAAAATACCACTGGGGGCAATAAGAAAAACATAATTAGGAGAAAAACGGTTAAAACCATCGAAATTTCATCAATTTGCAATATTCTAATAATATCTAAATCTTTATTTTGGGTAATACATAAATATTTCTTGGAGATAATGTTTAAATATAATCATAACAAACGTATCAAAGATTTTCATTGAAAATCAAACCTAATTTAATAACGGATGAAATGATCAATAAGGGTCTTTATGGGGTTTATAGAATAGAAAAATAAAGGACCAAAAGTACAGAAAAATGGACCAAAAAATAAAAAATATGAAAAAATATGCGCACCAAATAAAGGACAGAGAATAATGGGGTGATAAAATATAAAGAATAGAGAATAAAAGTGAAAAATATATAGAAATGAAAAAAAAATACCTAAAATTTAAATAATACAATAATAAAGGACCCTACCCCCCCCCCCCCCCTTTTTTTTAAATCCAGACCCTCATCCATAGCCGACGCAGAAAAAACTAAAACACACAAATGTGTACCGTATGTTTAACAAAAACATATTACGTTATTTTGTAACCTCCTTTGTATGACATTTAACCTATGCAATCGGTCAACATTGAGATTTAGAATGCCTTTTAATTTAAAAAAAAATATTATATTGTACAAAATTAAATTCAAATACAATTTTTCATTTAAACATTCAATTTCACAAATTCCATTTTAAAATATTTACGGCTAATTCCTACAGAAAAAAAAACCAAACCACAACGTATATTTATTATATATAACTTGACAGACTGTATCATATATGTGTTTCTTTGCACAAGTGACCTTGCCAAACATTCTGCCGCAACTATTTTCATTAGATATCATTTATACGTGTTTTATATGTACAAGAGCTAGAACAAGATCAACAGATGTACCAAAGTCCAACTCTGGAATAAAAACATTGTGAGATGTGTCAGAATTTGGGACGAAGTGGATAACGGGATCAAAGTCCAGAGTTAGCATAATATGTAGTTTGTACGTATAACCAAAGTTCTATTCCACTATGTGTATCATTAATAACGTTGTGTTCTGTTCCATACTTTATATTGTGGTTAATTCTGAAAGTTCAACTTTCCGTGCCGCCGTTTATGAACATGCTGTTATTATACCAACCGAGAGAAAAGCTTGGGTTCATAGGTCTACAGCGTTGGAAAATATGATGAAAAATTTTGAAATTTATAAAGTACAGGCAGAGATAGCTAACAAACAGGTATTTGATTTTTATTCTATTTATTCTTAGCACTCAGTTTCAAAATAAACCATATCTTGACTCTTATTTTAAGATTATGTTTTTTTTTTTGTTTTTTTTTGCAAAATAACAGTTTTGAATAAAAACGACATGTTTTGGGGGTTTTTTCTATTATTTTCCTTTTTACTAGGATTTCCAATTGTCTGTCGAAAGTCGTAGGTTCTTCCATCCATAAAAACTAACCCACGTGATATAGCCAAGTGGGTTAAAAAGGGCATTTAAGTAAGTAAGTAAGTAAATTATTTATTATAGTGACATGTGTTTTTCACAAAATATAATATAGTGAAATATAAAAAAACAATAATTAGAACACCCGACCCTTTGGGTCTATAAGTCACTTTAAACATTAATGACAATGGTACGACGGACAAAATAAGTAAATTTTATCGAAAATTTTCATATAAAAAGTTTTTTCTCTTACTGAAAGCTTGCAATAGGTATTTAGCAGTTTTTCTCGGATGTTGACATAGTAAATATTTAAACTGTTCTTCATTTGATAGTATACATAAATTGTCTATTTGTGAGAAATGTTGCAGTCGCAGATTGTTGTAAAAGTTAACATGGGTAATTTGTTATTTTCAATATAACAAAAAATATTTTGCATTTGTTAAGAAAACAAATTTCTTTATTTCAAATGAAATGCATTTATATCTCAAAGTTTGCAAATTGCTTTAAAGATCTTAATTTTCAGCAATTTTACAATCCAAGAAGGCGGAAGACTTCCGATCTACCTTAAGCGTGTCTTTCTAGTACAAAGCAGGCTATATTTATAATACATTGCATATCATTGTTCTGAATATGAGACATTTGCCCCGGGCATAAACATCCATGAAATTAATTTTAACGTTCTGGATATATCGCATGCATGTGACAGTTGCCCTAGACACTAAGCATCAATCAATTAAAGATAGATCAATTTTAAGTCTACAAAATTCTATAAAAATCAAAGCTACATATATTTTTTTCAGAATGTCAATATTTTAGTATTTCCAGAAGACGGATTGTACGGTATGGGATTTTCCAGAACCGGATTAGAATCATATTTGGAATATATTCCCGATCCAAATGAAAAATGGAATGCTTGTAACTTTCCGGACAAATATGAAAATACGGAAATTCAAAGAAAACTTAGCTGTATTGCAAAGGACAATTCTTTATATCTTGTTGTAAACATGGGTGACCATCAATCCTGTAATTCAACAAACGATACAAAATGTCCACAGGATGGCCACTATCAATTTAACACAGACATCGTTTATAATCCAAAAGGTGAGCTTATTGCAAAGTATCACAAAATTAACTTGTTTTATGAAAAGCAGTTTGATACACCACCTGTTTCGGAACTTGTGACCTTTGACACACCTTTTGGAAAATTCGCTATGTTTACATGCTTCGACATTTTGTTCAAGATTCCTGCTATAGATTCGTTAAAAGTACAAGGTGTTGGGAACGTCGTATTTCCTACAGCTTGGATGGATGCTTTGCCCTTATTGGCTGCTATTCAATTCCATTCTGCATTTGCAGCTGGAGCAAAGGTCAACTTTTTGGCGGCAAACATAAATCTTCCTTCATTCAAATTTCACGGGAGTGGAATATACTCCCCGGAAGGATATGGGGCATTTTATTACAGCGAAAAACATGGCGGAAAACTTTTGATAGCCAATTTATCAGTTGTACAAAATGGCAATTTTATAACGAAAGACATATATAGAAGACCAAAATATGACCTTGAATCAAAGAACGAATCAAGCCAGTTTTATTCTCACGTTTTTCATGATTTATTTACCTTTGTGTCATTGACAAACGCGACAGGGAATATAAGCGTTTGTAATGGAAAACTTTGTTGCCATCTTAAGTACGAGCGGTCTAATGGCGGATCTGAAAATTACGCGTTTGGCGCCTTTGATGGTTTACATACATATGAAGGTGTGTATTATATCCAAGTTTGCACTCTGCTGAAATGCAAATCTTCATCTAAGGACAGTTGTGGCAAACCAGTAAAAACAGCCTATACACGTTTTACAAATCTGAAAATGACAGGAACATTCGGAACTCCTTATATTTTCCCGGAAATCCTACTTACAGATAATGGTACATTAAAACTATCTTCTGGAAACTTGTGGAGTTACGACAGAGGAACATTACAATCAGAACGAGGATTTGAACTTCCTGTTATTAGTGTTGGAATGTTTGCTAGAGATTATCTTCTGGATGCAGATATACAGCCTGTGGGAGATTATGGAACGAATATTGCATTTTGTTGCAAACCGTCCATCATTGTAACCATATTTGTTTATATTTTATCATGTAGTTTTCTATTTGTTGTATAAAACAGCAATTGGCTAATGCAAATCACTTTTTAAAATTTACTTTAAGGTACAGTAGAACTTTTTACAAATGAAAACAATAAACCATAACACCAAAACAAAAAAAAACCTTATAAAATCTATGTAACTGGTCTGTATAATTATATAAAAATAAGAAGATGTGGTATGATTGCCAATGAAAAACTCCCCTCCAGAGACCAAATGATATAGAAATTAATAACTATAGGTCACCCACCGTACGGCCTTCAACAATGAGTAAAACCCATACCGCATAGTCAGCTATAAAATGCCCCAAAATGACAAATGTAAAACAATTCAAACGAGAAAACTAACGGCTTGATTTATGTACAAAGCAATGAACGAAAAACAAATATGAAAATCCGGAACAAACGACAACCACTGAATAACAGGCTCCTGACTTGGGACAGGCACATACAGCCCGTGTTTATTTTCTCTCAATAGGTCGATTGCAACTTAAAGTTATCATTTAACTTTCTATATTGAATAAGTCTTTCAAACGACTAGCTTTCAGATTTTGACGATTTTTAAAATTGTAAATAGTTTATTTATTATCAGATGGTTGATTTATTTTTTGTATTGATAAAAAGCCAAGTTCTTTAATCGGCAATGATTTTGATAATAGGTCTAGTTATATACGAAATTAAGTCTGTGTCTGCTGATCAGCCCTTTTGCCATAAAATTGTAACAGGCCGTAGTCTTCGGGGTCTGTTTCTAGTCTTACGGTTATGAAATATTTTAATATTGCAAAAGTTGTAGAACATTTAATAGCAATATTTTGCAATATAATAATTGTATGTTGTTAGTGATGTACACTTAATCTGAAGTAGTATCCTTTGATGTACTCTTCAAATTAGAGCACGTCCACGCATATAGCTATCCAAATTGAAAACAGTTTTCTTTTTCAGACTAAAACTATGCTGCAGGCTTCATCATATAGTATACATACATGTACATCTAATCACATTTTAATTAGTTAATGAACATACATATAAAAATAAGGAGATGAGGTATGCTTGCCAATGAGACAACTATCCACCAAAGTTCAAATAAAGTGGATGTAAAAGCAATTATATACAACCGTAAGGCCTTCAACAATGAGAAAAACCCATACCGTTTAGTCACTTATAAAAGGCTCCGACATTAAAATATGAAACAATTCAATTGAGAAAACTAACGGCCTAAATTATAACAAAACAATTTACGAAAAACAAATATGACAGACATGAACCAACGACAACCACTGAACTACAGGCTCCTGACTTGGGACAGGCACATAAAGAATGTGGCGGGGTTAAACATGTTTGTAAGCGCTCAACCCTCCCCTAACCTGGAACAGTGATGTAACATCACAACATAAGAACAAATTATGAAAATCAGTTGAAAAAGGCTTAACGTACTCATCAGATCGATACAAAGAAGAAAAACATCAAACAAAAACACAGACCGGACGTGGCAGTGTATTTATCCATCCCTCATCCCTAAGTACAGATCTGAGAGTAATCGCAGCTACTGACAGCTAGTTCAAAGCCAATAACAACTAATAAAAAAATCATGTATCTAAGACTAGAATATCAATCAGTACACATCCATCATCCATTGTATTTAGTGTAAAGTCGTCATTAACATTCAGAGAAAAACATGACCTTGTGCAATGCCAAAATAAAGGTATCGACAGATTGTAGTAAAGCGCATATGTATATAACAAAACTATTTAGTATGATATAATTTGTTCTCTCTCTACATTTTTACAATTGTTAGTTCACTCTAAATTTTCACGATAGAAAAATCGCAAAAGAGATGTTCTAGACGTAAGGTTTTATTTTTTCGTAAGGACAAAGACAAACTTATTACTCTCTCTCTCTCTCTCTCTCTCTCTCTCTCTCTGATTGCGTAGCAACAGATGAAAATAAATACTAAGTACTAGTGGTCAATTCGCAAAAAATCCTCTTAATCTAAGGTCATCACTAGACTTCTTCGATCCGGAACTAACACTCATGCTGAAGAGGGGCGTCAGTTTGGCTTTGTGCGATGTCAACACAGTCGACCCACATGCAGAACCTATATTAAATTTGTGTTAGTACATATTTGCCACTTAAATTAAACAATCAATCAACCCATTCAGAAAACTTTAAAAACCTAGAGCTCTTTATGATTTCTCTTCCATTGTGAGTTTCAAAAAGATAAATAAAATGAGTTTTGTTGTTAATTTATTACTTAAAGTTTCTATAATCCTTGTTATCCTGTAGACCCTTTGTTGTTCTATTTCACAACTAGAAAGATAAGAGATTGTCAACCGAATTCCAAAGCTGATTATTTTGATTTGTACAATGATCTTGATACCGTCAAAGAAAGATTTCATAACATTGTATGATTAGACACATGATAATAACATGTTCAAAGTGTTTGACCGAGTTTATAAGTTGGGTTTTTTTTTCCCTCTAATACATCTATACATTTTTTAAAAGAAATAGTATATAACTAAATTAACATTATATAACAAACAGTAATTTATGTATTACAAATAAGTAAATGTTTCTATTAAATGCCTTTTAAAGTCATATGAAACTTCAAATTAAAAAAAATAAATATGTTTCATATACTTGAATGGCTAAGTTTTACTTTAAACAAGTGCACGTGAACTTTCTTGTAAAAAAAATCCTTTATATTATCAAAATCTTCATAAATGTATTGCTATTGAATTATTGTCTTCCCGTACATCAATTCGTCGATATTGTCCCGTATGCAGTGAGCTCGTTAGAACTTCAACCAACGCACAGCGAAAGTGCGAGGGGGAAACCGTGATGAAAGAATGTAAACAAACGTGCACTGGAAGGTAAATAGTAATAACTGATTCTGAAAGAACAAATTTGATACAACATATCATTTAACAACGGCTAAGGATTTAATTTATGGTATGTCCTGCTACTAATGATAATTATGTTAAGTCAAATTGTAAACTCTTAATATGAACAAAAGGAGATTTTTGGTACACGCTAATGCCACAGCAACCCAACGACACGAATGTTTATTTTTGTCGTTTTAAATTGCTCACCAAGTGTTTCATTGATGTTATATCAATTTTTTCTTTTTATTCAAATGTTTACAGTTTTACTGTAATAATTTGCTCAGTCGCAAGACCCACACACAAATAGCAAGAAGAAGGAAATATGTTTGGAAGATGCTTTTTCATAGTATTTAAAAGTTGAGACTTGACAAATGTTGTTCATTAGAAAAAGAAAGAAATTTGTTTCTGTCATGAACTTGCCTATAAGCGATAAGAAGATAAAAAAGACCAATCAAAAACGATAAGAAGATACAAAAGGACCAATCATAAACGATAGGAAGATACAAATGGACCAATCTAAAACGATAAAAAGATACAAAAGGACCAATCAAGAACGATTAGTCTCATCCTTTATCCTGCGAAATTTTATATTTTCAACTCAAAATTTTACATTTGTTCAAGTTTTAGAGTTAACGAATTTGCATGTATTGGTACTTTTCATATGAATTTGCAGTACGAAGGGTAACCCCAGTTTGTTGTAATATGAGCCTTATTATAGATAAATACTTATTTGATTGTACCATAGGGAAAGTCACAGGTGCCACTAGTGAAGCAGGAATCGCCCACTCTTCGGGAGAACCTGAGTTGAACCTATTGTTTGTTGTGGTTCGTGTTGCTTAATTAATTTTCTGTGTAGTATTTACGTTGTTGTTTGTCTTATCTTTTCCCATGGTATTGAGTCAAATTCTTCTACATGATGGTTTGATTGCCTTCTCGGTATTCTCATGTTTTTTTTATTTCAATACTTTTGACTACAGCAGTAGGTATAAAGATGAAAATGATTATACAAATAATACACTGAACACGAACCGGTTGGAAGAATACATGATAATACTAGCTAAAACCGACGAATCATATTTGAAACGATGTTACATCATCACAATAATAAGAGTAATAGTATATCCAACAACAAATGTATCCCAATGTTTAAAGCTCAATAAGTATTTACAATTTTTGCAGTTATTCTGACATAATTATTGTAACTCTCATAGTTTTTGAACGCACCTAAAATCGGTTTCAACTCCCTGTCTAAGGACCAAATATGACAGTGAAAAATTACAGTATTATAGATAGTTGGTTTGAGAATTTCATGAACAATAATGTGCCGTCTCGATGTAGTATATCAGAGATTTCAATCTACTCAAACAAGATCTGTATATAAAATATGACGCTCCAATTAATGAATTAATAAAAACTCCATTAAAAGAACTTTTATTTCATATCTAGGTAACAAAAATAAACAACAACACAGTAAATTAAAAAAAAAGCGATACAAGTATACAATACTGATTAAAAAAGCACTAAGTCAATTGTATGATTCAAATAAGTCTTGATAACAAAATATTAATATTTCTGAAAAATGATGACTAATAAATCATATTCATGGCTCTACAATCTGTTGATACCTGTATCTTGGCATTGCACAATGTCATGTTTTTCTCTGACTCTTACATAGGCAAAATTTGCTCACGTGAATGTCAAATGAAACTCAAATGAAATTCACGTGAAAAATTTCACGTGAGATTCACCTCAAACGAGCTTATTCATGAAACGTGAAAATGTTCATGTGAATTTCACGTGAATTAAAATTTACATGGATCTCACGTGAAAAATACGTGAATTTCACGTGAACATTTAAAAAAAATGGTATTTTTCATGATTTTGATTAAATTTGAAAATTAAAATGTTATTTGAATAACTTCACGTGATTTTTAAGTGAAATTCACGTGAGTTTCACATGACATTCACGTGGAACTCACATGAACTGATTTTACGTGATTTTCACGTATACATGTTAGCTCGTTTAAGGTGAAATTCATGTGAGTGAAATTTACCTGAGTAATGACGTCTTTACAATAAATCCATTGGATATTGGATGTGTACTGATTGATATTTTAGTCTTAGATGCATGATTTTTTATTAGTTGTTATTGGCTTTGAAATAGCTGTCAGTATCTGAGAGTACTCTAAGATCTGTCCTTAGAGTAACTTTTGTTGTGGCGATGTATAAATTCCCGGCCACGTCCGGTCTGTGTTTTTGTTAGATGTGTTTTATTTCTGCTTTGTGTGTCGATCTGATGAGTTAAGCCCTTTTCAACTGATTTGTTTAGTTTGTTCTTATGTTGTACTGTTACACCACTGACCCGGGTTAGGGGAGGATTTAGCGCCAGTAACTAGTTTAACCCCGCCACATTTTATATTTGCCTGTCCCAAGTCAGTGGTTGTCGTTTGTTGCTTTATATCATATTTGTTTTTCATTTATTGTTTGTATATAAATCAGGCTGTTAGTTTTCTCGTTTGAATTATGTTACATTTGTCATTTCGGGACCTTTTATAGCGGACTATGTGGTATTGGTTTTGCTCATTGTTGAAGACAGTACGTTGACCTATAGTTGTCATTTCGTCTCTGGTGAACAGTTGTTTCATAGGCAATCGTACCACATCTTCTTTTTTATAGTACTACATAAAATTATTTAGAAAAAAAAATCCCAAGCTTCACAAATATGTATTTGTTTTGTAGCATTCCAATACAAATCAAAAATACATGGCGTTTAAAAATACCATTGGGACGATATCATTTGATTTAAGATCAATAGAGATATTTATCATTGGCCAATCTTTCTCACGATCTTAGATTGAAAGTTTATACTAATGTTGATGTATTTTGAAATATTCACCCAAATATCCGTTTTTATTAAGATTTACTTTAATTTGAAAATTCATAGTGAATTATTTGTTTTACCGTACAGACAGCATAAAAGGGGGATTGTACACGAAACAATTGATATAAAAATACACCATTATCACACATAAAAAATCACAAATGATGGACAACTCACTATCTTGCATACTTTTTTACAATTTCTTATATATAGCAACATGCATCAAGTGAGAGCCAATAATGAATAAAGAAATATACAAAAATTAATTCAACAATTTCATAAATATCTAGTAAAACAATTTGGAACAACGTGGTCAAAAATGAAAAATGTATGTACTTTAACGAATATTTGGAACTTACATTATTACATTGTCCAGCTATTGTCATATTAACTATGTTGTTTACATTTTCATATCAGACATGCTTAGGGTATTTTTATGTGTATGTCTGATTTTGGTGCTTTAAAACAGATAGATTACTAATGAAAATAAATTTGATGTTGCCTCAACGAAATATAAGCAACATATTCTGAAAATATTTCGGTGACAAATATATGCATTATGCCACTGTTTTAAATTTTCTGTTAACTCTTTCCATTTTAAAAATGGAAACAATCATAATTATTTATTTAAATATTGGTATTTCAGTATATTATAGAGATTATCGTTATTCACGATTGTCAGTATATTTAGGCGATAAATCCTTAAAATTAGTTTGTTTTGTTAAATTAACAATAATCCATGTATCTCATATTGATTAGTTAAAAATCATAATGTATATACATGTACATGAATTTCATACATTTTTTTCATCCAGTAATTATAGGGGCTAAAATATTTCAAATTCCAATAAAACAAAATGTTAAGCTCTATGACATTTCTGTTCAATTCATTCGCTACAGAGCTTGACACGTCTGTATAGTGCCCTTTTAATGGTTTTTGGACATATTTTTGTCGTTAAATAGCCCTAATATTCTTTCTTCACAAAATGTTTGAAGCAGAAAACCTTATTTTCTCCGGATAATTACTCGGCAATATCTTATTTCCGTGTCTATCCATTAATCTGATTACATTTTGATCTCCTGCTCTCACAGTACAACTAAACGATTACGAGCCAGAATAAAAATTCAAATGACCAATGTTTGAAGACAATGCAAATTACAACAATCAAAGCTTTAAAACATAAAGATATGCGAAAAATATATTTTCATAGATATTTACCTGTAATTTCGACGCTTGAACAACATTACATATATCCATAAAGTAAATTAATTTAATAGTATTCGTTATTTCTAACTCAAAGTCAAATTTTTCTTTGCACTTCAATTAAAAACACCTATTAACCTATATTGTTTTGTTTTCCCTTTACAGCAAATATTATACTTTAAACTGAAGTTTTGCATCACAAGGTATTCTATGCAATTAAGTCATTCCTTACAAGCGAAGTCTAACGGATACCATATTCGCATTGGGTCTGCTACATAAATGTGGATGACATATCACAATTTGATACATGCTCTACTTTCAAAAGTTTGTATTTTCATCTATTGTTTGAATCGTCCCAACACTATGCCAAGATGAAGAAGCTGATGACTGCCTGCTTAAATGACCTCTACATTGTCCGAAAAGTTCCTTGTACAATGCACCGACTCTCCTATTGAATACAAACACAAAAAAGATAAAAAGACCTTGCGAACAGTTAAAAATTATAAAAAATACTCCAACTACATGAAGCACAATACAAACTGTGTTTGTTGGCTTTTCGGAAAAGGAACTTATAATTGAAGATGCAAGTCCAAAAATCCAGGTAAACCCCATTACGGTAGACATGCGCACATACAATATAACGTCATGTTGTCCGATTGCGTTACTGACAGAAGAACGTCTGGTTCTAAGAGAAACCATTTTTGTTACGGACCGTATACAAATTATGGTTCGAATGAACATTATTGCATTTGCAAGTAGTATCACTATCATAGGCAATCCAAAAGCAACAAGTGCGGCGACAGGCTCCTGAATCCAACAGCCAAACTTCTGTCGATAAAGTTTAATTATTGTTGGATTGTCTGTTTGGTTGGAAAAACTATCATCTGTATAGTATTCATAAGAGGATCCAGATGATCCACCATAGCCAATTCTAAATTTTGGAATACACTTTGTAAAATCAATAATACTGCATATCCCAACAATCAATGCTGGAGATCCCCATGCATATAGAGAATACATTGGGAAATGCTTCTTGGTTCGGCGAACTCGAGTGAGAATACACTTGTTCGCAAATGTTTTAAACACATCGTATGACATTACGTTCATCCAGAAAAAGGAAGCAAGAAAGATAAAATGAAGGAACACCCCAACTATCGGACAAATGATGTCGCTACTGTTGTCAATTGAACCCGAAATTATAAAAATTAATTCACCGAAGCATAACGACAATGTCAGACACATCATATTCAAACCAGGCAAGTTACGCAGCTTAGCAAATATGCTATAAGTGACAATCACTGCCGTAAGTACAACAATTGAAATGATTCCAAGCACAAAACTTAGATAACCCTCCGCTTTTAGAACGCCCTTATAACTAGCACCGCAACCAAAACTGATTTCGCTCAACGGTGGTTCGATAAAATACGACTTTGGAACACAAACTTGTATATCTGTTGAATTTTCCATGTTATTCACATATTCGTATTGGTTCATGTCAAACACTAAATTGTTATCTAGAAAGACCGATGAATTTCTTAAACGAGTGTAATTTGAACTTGCTATTTGAAATCGCGCGCAATCCTTATTTGCTATTTTTGGCATGTCACATAAGAATACATACATGTATGAAGAAACATCCGAAATATTTCCAATCTTGCCTGTCACCCAAAACCACAGATCATACATGCCTGGGGGATAGAAGTTACCAGTACTATTCACATATATGCCGGTAATATTTCTACCTGAACTTTCATCCAAGCGAACAATAAAGTCGAATTCATTATCGAATTTTTGATCTTTTTGTCCTTTTGTGCACCATAAATCAAGTTGTACTGTCGTTTTTGCACTCGGGTTATCGGTTTTAAATTCAGTTCCGTTAATTGTAAAGTAAAAGGCACCTTTCAAGTTTAGTATTTTGTTTTTAAGTGTATCGTTCAATGAACGATTGCTTCCTTTATCATCGGATGGGACGAGAGAAAACGATATTTCTGCAGTTACAGATACCAAATTCTCCGGTAGATGATACTCAGATAAATGTGTATTACAGTGAGCATTTGAATGATTTCTATTATTTAAAGCATTAGTTGCGTCTCTAGATACACCAATTCGACGAATTTCCACCTTTCTATCAGGAGATGTGCCGTTTAGTAAATTAATTTGAAAATTCAATACTCGGTCTATACTAATGTTTAACATGCTTGCAAATGCTTCTGAAATATCGTCACAAGCAATCGGATCCTTTAATACTTTTACATCTCGGCTGCTTACATTGAATCGGTATATCAACTGAATGGGATAGTCATTTTGGGTTGCATCCTCGATATGTTGTTGTGAGAATGAATCATACTTTTGAGTTTTTGGAATACATTTTTTATCAATCAAAACATATCCATCCTTACAAACAACTCTACGACATTCTTGAATGTTCGGATCGTATATTTCGTTATCTTCGCAATGATGTTCCATCACCGGTTCGATCCCACTCGTACTAAAAAATACATGACCTTTTCCATTTATGCCGAAATTCATCAAGATTTGAAATGATAGAGGATATTCACCGGAAGATGTTTCGTCACTACGATCTATAAACCGATGATAACGGCTGCGCTGTTGGTGCATTTCTTGCAAATTCATTGCTGCATACCTTGTACAGAGTAACTTCCCTTTAGGCTTAAGTGGGTAAACGAAGGGTACACATTTTGCAACATCTTTGAATTTCCGGAGAAGAATCATTGATTGTTTGAAATCGAAAAACCGTAACGGTGAATACGAATTATAAACAAGCTCAACTTCCCAAGTGGTAATATTACGAATGCCATGACAACGTGCGCAGTAGATATTTTTATATATGTATCCACGGTTATCGGTTACGGGAACTAACTCTAAGTCGATGGCGCACTTGTCAAACTCGTCAATAGATCTAGAAGAATGGCAAAGATGAACATCATTAACGTTTGGTGCCCAAAGTGGGCATTGATCAATCATAACAAAGGGTACATCAGAAAATAAAGAAATATTGTAACAGCTTCCAAATATTCCATAGGTGATATCATCCATTAAAATTTCATGTTCTTTTTTGGTACGAACCGATTTTTTCCTTTTTCCTGTTTCTTTATTTTTTGCAAGTCTCTTGTTAATAATGGTTTGTATGTTTACTTTATAATTTTGTTCTGGATCACTTGTGTTCAGTGCTGAACCTGAACTGAAATGAGGACCTTTATCTATAAGATCGACGGAAGTTTGTCTGTTTTTATTATTCACTGACGTCATTTGCCATATCCTTTGTGAAAGTAAATCAGCATATTTTTGTTTCATCAGTCGTTTTTGTTCGGTAAAATCGTCCATTCCTCGTAAATCATCGTCAAGATTCACTGAAATAGGAATACAGTTTGCAATGAATAGTACCAACCATATTGATGTCATATTGATGAAAACTATAAACCACACACAGATAGTCATATTTGTCGATGATGATGGTGATGGTGAAGGTGGTGATGATGAGGGTGGCAATTATGGAGTTCCATCACTGCCCTGTCTAGCAACAACTCATTTCTAAATAATGCTCCTCTGTTTGAACGGATAACCCTGGAATCATAATCATTATCTTTTTAATTTCAAAGTTCGTATAAAAAGTAAAATCCGACTTCACAAAGTGAATCTCTGAGTAACTATTCTATGACATAAAGTCAATGAAAATATTTCATATCACTAACTCAAACTGAACGTCCATCTAAACTGATTTTAGTACACACACTGAACGATCTATTGTCTTATCATTTCGTAGGTTGTATAGATGTCACCATATGCTAAATCTCAAATGTAAACTGGCTTGTCAGTTCCTTATCATTGTAATAGATTTCTGTTTAGGTCTGAAGTGTCCTCAAAAGCGATTAACTACACATTAACTGTGGGATTAACCTTAAGTATTACGTAAACAATGGACATATTTTCATTTCAGTTATATCGTCAAATATTGTCATATCTTTGAATTCTGATTAAAAGCTAAAATCTTTGAATTCTTGTGGGTTTTTTTTTCAATTTCTGAGTTGCCATTTGTCCTTTACTTGACGTATTGTAAAAGAGGTTAGGTCAGTATTCATAATAGATATCAGTACAACATGTTGCTATTTAATTTCAGCGTATGTAGTTTTGTTATCGCAAGCTTTATACAGTTGTTGAAATACAATGATTCAAATATAATATCTAATGCAGCATGTAGCTTTAGTGTAGTACAAAAATTGTCTCTTTGACATATTCCCCATTTCCATTCTCAATTTTATTACAGTTACAATAATGTGAATGTATTAACTGGTGTTTGTCGTAGGAAGAGAGAGACGTATGTGAGTTTGCTTGACATGCCCGCATATAAGCAGCCCTCTTCAAGTTTAATTTTTTTATACATAGTTGAATAGTTAAAAAAAATGAGGCAGCAAATACTTAGGACAAATTCAGAACTCATAAGCCGAAGAGAAACTGACAAATCCAGGGTAAAAACGACGAAAAGACAAACTAGCCGACAAAATACCATATAGAAAACCAAAGATTCAGCAACCCGAACAACATTAAATACTGGTAGTGATCTCATATGCTCCAGAAGGGTAATCAGATCCTGTTCTACTAGTGGCACTCGTGTCATATTTTTTTTGCTGAAAGGGAGTAGACCAGGGTTAAGGGATATAACTCTATAAATCAGTAATACGTTTGAAATAGGCAGTTTTTTTAATGCTTTTTAAGGATTCATGTGATACAGAATTAAAATAATCTGTGTTAACTAGAAGCTAATAATATATTGATGAAAATGGTTGACACAAACTTAACAATTATTTCTTAGACTTTGGTATATACTTGCTGAATTTTGATTTTGTCCACAAATGAAATGCAAATACCGACTAGTGAAAAATAATATGAGGCAGGTGTTACCTGTGAAAGATGACGAAGTCCGTATATTTACATTTTACAAAGTATGACCATGGAAGTAATATCTAAATATTACTTCCATGGTATGACAGATAACGATAATCCCTAACATTTAAAAACATTCGGTAACTTTTAAGATACCCTACATCATCGGTTTCTTGACATATGACTGGACAATGAATAACTCTTCAAAATAGCAAATTTAACAAAAAGAAAAAAGTAACAATTTCCTAGAATATATTTTTTTAATTATTTGAAATACTGAAATGTATCCGCTGCTGGTCCCTTTGTTTGGAAATTTTAATTAGGACGTCAATTTCAATGTAAAAAATTAAAAGCTTTCTTTGGGTAACTTTGTTTCGTATATTGTTTAATCAAAACTATATTAATGTATACCTTAAAACGACGAAGATACAAAATCGGCTTATTTTCAATTATCTTTTTATTAATACAGAAAGTTGCCTGATTGAGCAGTTGAGTTTCCCCCAGAACTCATGGTTTTTTTATATGAAAATCACACGTTGAATAAGCACTAAAATTATGTCATTACGTACACAAACAGAATACATTCAAAATATTCTTCAGCATGATTATTATTGTCATTATTCTCCATGTTAATCAGACATACAAAGTTGTGGGAAATTGTACGATATCCATTATGAACAGGAACAAGGCAATGTGCAAGTGCAACTCTTGCGAAAAAAGTTAACGATAATTGATTCATTAGTTTATTGATTTTAAGATAGATTTTTCTTTTTACTGATTTTCTTACTACTATTAAGGACTTCGTTCTCACTGTGATATCATTACAGTATAAAAGAACAATTCAAAATTCATGTTGATATGTTTCTTTTAATTATCAAAATTTGTCGTGTATCTATGCTCGTGGATAAGTTAACTTGAAGCCACTATTGCTTTTCATAAATGTAATCCGTACATTTTGTACGTAATGTCAACTTTGTGTTTAATGATAACTTACTGAACACTTTTTAGACGCAAGTATACCTTTGAAGATCGTATGATGGTCTGTTCTCTGTGTGTGTGTGGGTGGGAGAGGGGTAGGGGTTTCTATTTTTGGTTATATTCTTTAAAGTGTTCGTTAATTTCTTGATTAAGATAAAATTGCACAATTACTCACTCGCGTAAATTTTAACTTAGAGGTAGGCCTGAATTAGTGAAAACAAAATCTCGTTAGCAAGATGTAGCCTAGAAGTCTCTAATTTTGAACTCTGCGGAAACCTCTTTCCAATATCTAGAAGACAATATAATTAATGTTCGGAATAATGAAAAAGTTCGGAATAATGAAAAAGTGTCCTTACAATATATCAAGTTTAAAATCGCCCGAGACTACAAATGTAATGTAGTGATTTCACAGAGATTATAAACTATCAGATTTGACATCAGTACCAACCGTTTTACAAAATTCTAAAACAAAAAGCAACATTAAAAAAATAAGACAAACATCGATGAGGTACTGAGGTTTTTTTTTTATCACTCAACCCTCCTCTTCTTTCAACTCGACAATTGTAACATCATTGTATAATGTATTT